TAATTTTTTTTTAAAAAGGATTTTATTTATTTATTTGACAGAGACACAGCAAGAGAGGGAACACAAGCAGGGGGAGTGGGACAGGGAGAAGCAGGCTTCTCGCGGAGCAGGGAGCCCGATGTGGGGCTCGATCTCAGGACACTGGGATCATGACCTGAGCTGAAGGCAGACACCCAACGACTGAGCCACCCAGGTGCCCCTGTGATATCAGTATTAAAATACTTTAGTTCTTGGGGCGCCTGGGTGGCTCAGTCGTTAAGCCTCTGCCTTCGGCTCAGGTCATGATCCCAGGGTCCTGGAATCGAGCCCCGCGTCGGGCTCCCTGCTCCGCGGGTAGCCTGCTTCTCCCTCTCCCACTCCCCCTGCTTGTGTTCCCTTTCTTGCTGTGTCTCTCTCTGTCAAATAAATAAATTAAGTCTTAAAAAAATTAAAAATAAAAAAATAAAATACTTCAGTTCTTCATGAAGTTTACATCCTAGCTTGGGAAAATGGAGAATAAGTTAAATAAATGTAATAGATTGCAGTAGATTGTGTTAGTTGTGATAATAAAAGTATATGGCATGATATTTTGGTAGTATAATAAGTTTGTGCAAATATGTAATTCTATATTTCTAGAGCTGACTTTTTGACTCTCTAGCTCAGAGAACTGGGGAAGGTACTTAGATGACGTTTGCAATGTGAGGTGGGATATTTTTCTTTGTCACGGTGACTGGGGCTACTACCGGTGTTTAGTAATCTGGGATCTGGGCTGTTAAACATCCTGTGTTAAGCGGGACAGTGCTGTGCAGTGAAGAATTGGCTGACCTAAATGCCAAGAATGCCCTTGTTGAGAAACACTAACTAACCTGATTCATGGCAAACAACTTCATCTTGGTCTCATCAGGCAACTTTAGTATTATCCCGTAATTTTAAATCCAAGATTATTAACCTGTTATCAGTTGGTTCAAATCTCTTAGATTCTGCCTATCTATTCCATGGTACTAATTCTAATAACCTGAGGAGCTTATTACATGATAGTATTTGTCTTTTTGAGAAAGAGAGCCAGCATTTCCGGGTCAATCTTCTATTTTATGTTGTGGTACACCTCTGTGTCAGTCATAGGCACTGTCCTGTGGTAGTTTTGTGGTGTATGTTATATTTGATCCCATGTAGTTCTCTGGCATGGGTGATAATGCATCCCTTTGCCTGACTCCCATTTTCTTGCCATTGTAGGTAGTTTCTTGGTAAGTCATCCACTTTTCTACTAACTTTCCTGCTCTAATTTCCTTGGAGACACTATTGTTAGGCTCATTGAATATTGGGAAGGATGGGTAGTCTTAGGTCCTTCTGTTTAACTGCATAATGCTGCCCCCTAGCTTGCTTTTACAAAAGGATATCTTTGTTTTGGGGTTTTTTTTTCATTCTTACTTGAGGATCTTTTTACCCAAAGCAAGTCCTTTACTTTGGAAAGTTCCCAACTGTATTAGTTTGCTAGGACTGTCATAATAAAGTACCACTAGGAGCACCTGGGTGGCTTGGTCAGTTGGGCCCCGACTCTTGATTTCAGCTCAGGTCATGATCTCAGGGTGGTGAGATCACCCCAAGTCAGGCTCCAGGCTCAGCACAGAGTCTGCTTGTCCCTCTCCCTCTGCTCCTCCCCCCTATTCGCACTTGCTCTCTCGCACTCTCAAATAAATAAATAAAATCTTGACTGATGAATCACAGACCTGTACCCCTGAAACAAATGATACATTATATGTTAATTTAAAAAATTTAAAATAAAAAAATAAAAATAAAATCTTTAAAATAAAGTACCACCAACTGGTGGCTTAAATAATAGAAATTTATTGTGTCACAATTGCAGAGGTTAGAAGTCTGAGACTGAGGTGGTGACAGGGTTGGTTCCTTCTGAGGTTTGTGAGGGAAGGATCTATTCCACATCTTTCTCCTTGGCTTGTAGGTGGCCATCTTTATGTTCACATCGTATTCTCCGCATATTGTGTCCGTATTTCCCCTTTTATAAGGTCACCGGTTCTACTGGATTAGGAGCCCACCTTAATGACCTCATTTTAACTTGATTCCCTCTGTAAAGATCCTGTTTCCAAATGAGTCACATTCTGAAATATTGAGGGTTAAGACTTCAATATATGTATTTGGGGGAGAGACGATTTAACCTATAACACCCAACTAATCCTTTTAATTCTGTTTTCCTCTTAGAACACAGAAAAGGCTCTACTCAAAATTAAAATATCCCAGTCCAACACCAAAAAAAATTATGTAAAGTAAAAAGGGGGGAAAAACCCTATTTCTGTCCAATTCTTATCCTCCAACTTGATTATTTTACTTTACTTTTCCATATGAGTAACTATATATAGAACTATCTCTTTTTTTTTTTTTTTAAAGATTTTATTTATTTGAGAGAGACACAGCGAGAGAGGGAACACAAGCAGGGGGAGTGGGAGAGGGAGAGGCAGGCTTCCAGCTGAGCAGGGAGCCCGATGTGGGGCTCGATCCCAGGGTCCTGGGTCGAAGGCAGACGCTTAACGACTGAGCCACCCAGGCGCCCCGAACTATCTCATTCTTTTTACAGGCTAACAGCATTCCATTTAATGGTTATACTGCAGTTTAATTAACCGTACCTCTACTGATGAACATTTTTGTTGTTTACAACTTTTGACTATTACACACTGTACAGAGCTAATTCTTGTATACATTTCATCACACATTTGAATTTTTTTTTTTTTTTGGTACGATAAATCTTTCAAATTGCATGTGCTAGGGGGACCTGTGTGGCTCAGTCGGTTAAGCGTTTGACTCTTGATTTCAGCTCAGGTCATGATCACAGGGATATGAGATTGAGCCCCGCATTGGGCTCTGTGCTGGGCATGGAGCCTGCTTGAGATTCTCTCTCTCCCTTTGCCCCTCCCCCCTCTAAAATGAAAATAAAAAATAAATAAAATTTTTTAAAATTGCATGTGCTAAGTCAAAGGGAATGAACATTTAAAAATTTTAAAGATATTGGTAAGTTAATCCACCAATTTATACTACCACTAGGAGGATATGAGAGAAAGTTCCTCTTTTCTCTGTACCCTCACCACCATCGGATAATATCAGTTTTTAAAAAATCTTTGTACAATAGAAAAAGAGTATCTCATTCTTTTAATTTTTATTTTGTCACATGTGATACTTAGTATATCTTTAGTCATTTTATTTATTTTTCTGTAAATTTACCTGTGTGAGTTCTTGCTTATCTTCTTTAGAGGTATTTGTATTTTTCTTATTAGTTCATTGAAGCTTTTTATATGTTATGGATCTTAGCCCTTTGTTCATTATACATAACACAGATATTTTATCTAGTCTATTTTATTCTTTTTGGATGTTACTATAAGTGGAATTGTTTTGTAATTTCCTTTTCAGATTGTTCATTTTTAGTGTATAGAAATGCAACTGATATTTGTGTGTTGACTTTGTATCCTTCAACTTCACTGAATTCATTTATAAGTTTTAATAGCTTTTTTATGTGGAATATTTAGGGTTTTCTGTATATAAGTTCGTATCATCTGCAAACAGATAATTTTACTACTTTCTTTCCAATTTGGATGCCTTTTATTTATTTTTCTTGCCTAATTACTTTGGCTAGAAATTGCAGTACCAGTGTTGAGTAGAGGAGGTGAAAGCAGACATCCTTGCCTCATTTCTGAACTTAAAGGAAAAGCTTTCATTTTTTCACCACTGAGTATGGTCATTGCTATGGATTTTTTGTATATGGCTTTTATTATGTTGGTAGTTTCCTTATATTTCTAGTTTTTTGACTGTTTTTATTATGAAAGGGTGTTGCATTTTGTCAAATTTTTTCTGCTTTGAGATGATTATATGGGTTTTTTTTCTTTCATTCTTTTAATGTGTATTGCATTGATTGAGTTCTGTATGTTGAATAATCCCAAATCCATTCTTTTTTCTCTATACTGTAGCCATGCAGGTCTGATCATATTTTTCTCTTTGATTAAAATATTTAAGTGATTTCCCATTGCTCTGTTAAAAAACAAAATTATTAATACAACCTATAGAACCTTTGCTTGGTTTGCCATCTTTTTTTTTTTAAATTGAAGTATAGTTAATATACAGTGTTAGATTTTCATCTGTACAACATAATGATTGAACAATTCTATACATTACTCTTAATGACTGTATCCCCTGTGCTCTACTTTTCATCTCTGTGACTTATAACTAGAAGTTTGTGCCTCTTAATCCCCTTTATCTATTTCACCCATCCCCCCACTTACCACCCCTCTGGCAACCACCAGTTCTCTGTATTTAAGTCTGTTTTTTTGTTTGTCTCTTTGTTTCTTTGTTCATTTGTTTTGTTTCTTAGATTCCGCACATGAGTGAAATCATATGGTTATTTGTCTTGTCTGACCTTATCTTTATTCAGTGCCTCCCTTAACCTAAGGGCCTCTAGCCACATTAACTATTTTTAGTTCCTTAATGGAGCCATGCTTTCTTTCCCTAATGGGACCTGTGCACTCACTGTTTCCTCTGCTTATTATTGTCTCTCTCCTTGTTACCATTTTATGCATAAAAAACTATTACCTCATATTTTATCTCTCTCATTTCCTACATAAAACTTTCCTTGACCCTGCCAGTCAAGGTGAGGCCTAGATTACATCTTATTTTATCCTGTACTTCTTTTGAAGCAAGTAATTTTATATTCACTTGTGTGATTATTAAATTTCAGATTATAACCTCTGTAGACTATGAATTTCATGAAGGCAAGGGTCATACCTATTTTGTTCACTGCTACATCTGGTAGGGTATCCTGCTGCCCAGCACATAGTTGGGGCTCAGACATTTGTAACATGAATGAGTGAGTGATGGCTTCTTGGTTTTATGTCTTGATTAGAAAGGTTATTGAAAGATTTCAAGATTAACATGATTAGATTCACTGTTTAGAAAATTCATTTATTGTTTGTGTGAAAGATGAATTAGACATATCTGAAAATTAGGAGGACAGACAACTGATTATGATTACCTTCTTGGCCTCGAATAATAGAAGCCTAAATAAAGGCAGCGGCATTAATGATGGAGAGGAAGAGATGGTATTTGGGGAGAACCATTTAAGAGGAAGAACCAACAGGACTTGGCGACTGACTAGATATAGTCATGGTGAGGGAAAGGAAAAGTCAGGTCTCAAATTAAAATTAAATGCCATATATGAATTAGTATGAAGCAGTATTACATAGTGGTTAAGAATAGAGCCTTTGCAGACTTATGTAACCTACTAGCTGTACGACTGAAGGATTTTACTTAACATTTGTTTAACTCTGTTAATTGTAAATGAGTAACTTCATCGAAGTTAAATGAGATAGTATGTGTAAAAAGCTTCTATTCATAGTTTGCTGTGAACTTGAAGAAGTCATTTAACCATCCAGACTCAGTTTCTTCTGATAGAAAAAAGGATAATCTATTTCCTGTTCCCCCTACACTGCAGAGTTAGAGAATATAAAGCCTCTGAAAACTGTAAATTGGTAATCATGGTAGCTAGATAGATTAATTTTACCTGGTAGGAAAGGAGATGATCTCTCTTTGTCTTTAATATGACCTCATCTCTTGATTCATCTTTGTCAGGTAGATAATTCTTGACCATAAAGACTGGACTGGTAGAATTTACCATACTAGCAACAGCCTTCTGCCTGTATGGGGCTCTCTGTGATAAGTGACTAATGACTTCTCAAGAAAATAAATCTTAACAGGGAGCCAAGGAGATCCTTATTGCCTGATGTGAAAGGGAGAAGAAAGTAGGATTATCAGGAACCAACCCTGGAAAGTGGAAATAAGGTGCTGGAAATCGGCCTGGTGAATTTTTGGTTGCCTGCTCTGATTTTCTATAGCTAGGCCTGTGCTTATTTTAGGATTGAGTTGTATACTTTGATCTTTCCTGTCTTTCATAGCAAACCAGTGAAAAGATTATTATGATTATTATTCCACACATAAGATGAGTAAAAACCAGAAGCTAAAACCTGGAATTCTCATGGGGCGCCTGGGTGGCTCAGATGGTTAAGCGTCTGCCTTCGGCTCAGGTCATGATCCCAGGGTCCTGGGATTGAGCCCCATATGGGGCTCCTGGCTCAGCGGGGAGCCTGCTTCTCCCTCTCCCTCTGCCTCTCCCACTGCTCATGCTCTCTCTCTCTCTCTCTGTATCTCTGTGTCTCAAATGAATAAATAAAAAATTAAAAATAAATAAATAAATAAAACCTGGAATTCTCAGTGCTTGCTTATTTCACCCTGCTATTTTGCCTTTCCAAACAGATGTAACTATCTTTAAATGCCCATGTTATGTGGTACTGTGTATAGGAATTTCGCCTAAGGGCAGCTCATTTTTTTTCCCCCTCCTGTGTATTTGTTATGTGATCTTGGTTAAGATTTTTGTTTTCAGCCAACACTTTGACTTTTCTTATTGCTGATAGGCTGGTCATCTTGCTCTTGCTTTTGAATTCGGTCTTGTGCCCAGCTTCCTCAATTGTATTTTCCTTTGAAGTTTTCAGTGTTGTAGTAATATGGTTTCCTGTCAGTTAGTGTTGGTTGGTATTGGTTTGCTCCCTTTGTATTGTGATTCTAAATAAATTTAGTATGTTCTTTTTCCTACAGGTTTTCTGTGCTTCCTGCTGTAGCCTGAAATGTAAACTGTTATACATGGATAGAAAGGAAGCTAGAGTATGTGTAATCTGCCATTCAGTGCTAATGAATGGTAAGTATTAAAACAGTTTGAATACGCAGTTGAGACAAAACAAGAGAATTCCTATGAAAAGGCTACTGTTTTTTCCTGCCTTTCTCTATAAGTTGCTCACCTTCTCAAAAGGCACAACTTTAACTGAAAATATTGAGCTAAATTTCCATGTTTTGAAAATATTGTAGAATTTCAGAATTCCTATGCCTAACTTAATGAATGAATGCTAACGTCAGGTAAGTTTTCCAGGAAGAATGGAGGTTCTCGTGGCAATCTGGTGCTGTGTGGCTTTAATGTTGCTGTGACATGACTGAAGTGGGCTGGGGGTGGGAGGCTATTGACTACTCAGATGATGAAATATTAAAATTGGGCTGAGGTTTTCCTTTCAAGGGAAGCTATCTCTAGGGAGTACCTTAATAACTTAAAATATATTCTCATTAACACCTTGTTTCATTTATCTTGTTAAAAATAAATATTTTAATATCTAAGATCAAATAGAGAAGTGCATTTTTCTATCAGTTATCTCCTTAATACTACTTAGATTGTTATAAGGATATTCGTTTTGAATTTAGTTATATGGTAAAAGAATATGGCCAGGAGAAGGTAAATATAGCTTGTCCAGTGTTCATCTTTTATGGGACTAGAAATGAATCCAAGGGAATTTTAGTTAAAAATTTTAAAACAGTATTTTTGTAAAGAGATAAAATGAAATTGATCAGGCTGTAGTATTTTCTCTTTGAGTACATCTTTGCACAGTTGCCAGAAGAATTACTAATAAAATGTTCAACTTGGATACTGCTGCTGCCTGTGCCAGGGTCATGTGCATCCTGGAGGCCGGAACCTATCTGCTTAAGATCCCTCCTGCTCTGTCTGTCTGCGTTGCTCATAGTGATGTTTTCCTGTTGCTGGCTTATTAACCTCCTGCATGTCAGTTAATCTGATGTGTTCTGATCTCCTGTGATCCACCCAATTTCCTCCCATTTCTGAATTCTTGCAATTTTGATCAAATATTAATTCATTCTCTCTTAGGGTCAATTTTTAGATGGTAGTTATTTCACTCATTTGCTCAATTGATGATTTTTGTTCCTGCTTTCATTTTCGGACACATATCCACAAAAAAGAGCACGATACTTATTTATAGTACCCAGTACCTCTTTTATTTGATGAGGTCTTTCAAGTTGATAGCTTCTTTTTTTTTTTTTTTTTAACTTGGCATAGCTAAAGATGAAGGAAATGGCAGAGGATTCATATGGAATACTTATTTTAATTAAGCCAAGGATACCCTTACCAGGGGATCCTAAAATAATCTACCTTTTCTGGTTTTTCCAGTGTCTTTCCTTTCGCATGGCTTAGCGAAGTCTTTTTCTGAATATTTAATTTGATGCTTTTCAGTGTTCCCTATCCCTTTCTCCCTTTCACCTTTTCTCTTCCTTCCCTCTTTCTGCCAGTGCTTTCAAAGGAACATAGCTATTGTTTTTAGCCTTGTCCTGAAGTTTGGAGGCAATAAATGTTCATAATCTTATGGATCATTCTTTGATGTTGAATGAGAGTTTTTAAAAGATGCTTAAAAAAATTGAGTGGTGTCCATTCCTGGGCATGTGGTATTACCTGAACCTAGAAGATAACATTTGATATCTTTCATTTCTGTAGCATCTTTCATCCAGTTTACTTTAAAAACAATAGTTGATATGTCAGTATTTAGTTAGTAAAATTATAGAGTATACAGAATCTTAACATATTTGCGATCATTCATATTGGTTGATGGCACTTAAATGACATTGGCACATTTTCATGTTCAAATGGGTCCTCTGCTTTTGAGACACACCAAAGATGTGAAATGGTTGTTTTTGCTGGATACTCTTACACGAGGTAATGATTACACAAAAGCAGAATTCACAGAAATGTTGAGATGTGTTCTCTTGAGCTTTAGGCTTCAGAATTTTTCCAGTGAGATTTTACCTCAACTAAGAAGAACATAGAAGTCTATAAATGAAACCAAAAATATCATACGATGGAGTTATGCTATTTTAGTCCCCAGTTTTGATTTTCGATAGAACTTTATAAAACGCATCAAATATTAAACCTGCCCCCCCCTTGTCTAAATGCTACCCCAGTTGTAAATCCTTAGTAAGTTTGATGTTTCACTCCCTCTTAAGGGAATGTATGGTCTCTTAAAGGAGCCAGGAACCTAGTCATTAACCTCAGACTGATCTGCTATCAGTCTGTATCAGAAGTATCACCTAATTCTTATTTTTGCTTCCAAATAGTTTACCTAACTAAATGGTCTCCTTTATTGATTAAAATCACCTATCTCCTTAAATACTTTCACTAGCTGGAAGAGAGACATACTATAAGTGTTAATGAGGAGGAGCTACATTATTTATCCAATATTGTGGAGGTCTTAATGTCCATATTTTGCAATCCATTCACATTGATTGTCTGTATTTGCTTTAGCTCAAGCCTGGGAGAACATGATGAGTGCCTCAAGCCAGAGCCCTAACCCTAACAATCCTGCTGAATACTGTTCTACTATCCCTCCCTTGCAGCAAGCTCAGGCCTCAGGAGCCCTGAGCTCTCCACCTCCCACTGTGATGGTACCTGTGGGAGTTTTAAAGCACCCTGGAGCAGAAGGTAGGGGATCATGTGCTCTTCTCTCTCTTTTTCCTCACCAAGTTCCTCTGAAAAGGTGCTGATGTGATTTTACAGCACGAGTCTTTAAAACGCTGTAGATAAGTCCCTTTGGGTGGTTATTAAAGTGGAAGGAACAAGATGAGAAATGTGTCAAGACTATTTCTGGGCAAATAAAGAATAATACTGTGTTGCCTGATATTTTGGAGGCACCTCTAAAAATATGCTAATACCCTGTCCAACTTAAGAATGGAGTGATTACACTGCTTATACTTGAAAAAAGAGGGGCACCTGGGTGGCTCAGTCGTTAGACGTCCGCCTTCGGCACGGGTCATGATCCCAGGGTCCTGGGATCGAGCCCCGCATCGGGCTCCCTGCTCTGTGGGAAGCCTGCTTCTCCCTCTCCCACTCCCCCTGCTTGTGTTCCCTCTCTCGCTGTCTCTGTCAAATGAATAAATAAAATCTTAAAAAAAAAACAAAAAAACCAAAATGATCTTATGTTAAAAAAAAAAAAGATACAGGATTTGAGGTTGGTCTGTAAAATCCTAGCCTCACACCTACCTTAATGTTCTTTGTAGGACTTTATGAAAATGAAGAATTCTTTCTTTGGACCAGCCCATTCTAATATTGCTTTTTGGAAACACATTGCCATTTTCTCTTTTCATTTTTAATCTATCCATATAAAAATATGAAAATATTGTTAGGTACATAGACCTTTATAAAATCCAAAACTTTAATTCTGATTATATCACATGATAGGTAGGAAATTATAGGCTCAACTTATTTTAATTTATTATATCTTTAAGATTATGATATTGTCAGATGAAAGGCACTTTGTAAGTTCAGGAGATTATCAGTAGTAAAAACAACAGTTATGTATTTCCTTAAAATGATCTTGTCAAGAAGTTTCCCTTGATAATTAAAATCAATCTTCTTTCAGTAATTTTATGTCTTTTTGTCTAGTAATATTCCCTTCCCCTTGCTAAGTAGCCCTCCTCCCCTTTTGAAGATCAAAGACTTCTACTGATATTGTCATATTCTTCCCCATTTTCCCCTCTTTTCAGATCATCCCTTAGTCATACTCCTTGTGTTTTTATGAGTTCAGGCTTGCTTTCTTAAAATCTTTATTCTATTTACTTCATTTGTCATTTTTGTTGTTCTTCCCTAGTCTTTCTTTGTTTTGGCTGTTTGGAATTGATTTCCAAAACTGGATTTAAAGAGATCATTTCATCAGACTTAGTTTTCCAGCTTTAACCCTATTGCAAACTACTTTTTGCACTGCCAGATGAGTCTTTTTTCATCTTCAGCTACACTTCAGCCAAGGATCTGGTCTCTTTGCTTCCCAATTCTCTTATATATCTGTGCCAACTCTTCCTTTATTAGTAAATAATTCTTCAACATTCTTCAGGGCATCTTTTGCCCTTTAAAAATACCATATCACTTTTCCAGATATTTAATTCCTGTGGAAACCTCATACTTTTAGGAAATGTAGATATTTATTGCTAGACATTTTTTCCCTGCTATTAATTTATTTCCTAGGCACTTAAGCCACCTTTCTTAGTTTCTCTGTCAGTGATACGGAACAGAGTTATGTGATGTAATCATAAGTGTACTTAATATTTTAAAGCAAAGTTTTAAATCTCTAAGTTACAGAAGTAAAGAATATATTTAAACTCATATTTTATTATTTTATAACCACTTTTATACACTGTTACAGTCCTTGTATTTATAATTATAAGATGCTAAGTAGTGATTTCCTTATACTTCTGGAATTGGTGACCTTCTCTTCTTTGATCTTAGAAACCCTATCAATATCACATTGATGCCTGTTTTATTTTTCTGGCTCCTCAAGTGGCTCAGCCCAGAGAGCAGAGGCGAGTTTGGTTTGCGGATGGGATCTTGCCTAATGGAGAAGTTGCTGATGCAGCCAAATTAACAGTGAATGGAACTTCCTCAGCAGGAACCCTGGCTGTGTCACATGACCCAGTTAAGCCAGTAACTACCAGTCCTCTACCAGCAGAGGTAAGAGAACAAAAACAGCAACTAAAAGTGAGTACTTAGTTTACTCAGCATTGTGCTGCTTCTGCCTTGCCGTTTTCTAAGTTGAGTGACCTTTCTGTGGAACCCTATAAGTTTCAGATACAGTTTAGTGCATATGTGTGTGTGTCTAGGGTAAAGTGTGGCAAAATCAGTTCTTGTTTGCTCTATATTTGGAGGTTTTTTTTAGGAGAAAGATTCTTATGAAGGTTGTTCTCAGTGAGCTCAGGCTACTGCTGTAGTTAGAGGTCGTGCAGAGGGAATCCTGCCCCCTTTGTACATTGGTTTTCAAACTGTTCCCCAGGTTCTGCGGTGGCCTCTTGGGAGTGCCATGGTGAGGAAGGGCCAGGCCATATAAAGATGGCTAAGGAGTCCCTCTATTCCTTTATCTTCAACAGAGCATCTCTATTTCTTCTGTTCTACCTTTTGGTTTCTTTCTTTTTTGAGAGAGAGAGAGAGTGGGAGAGAGCACAGGCAGGGGCAGAGGGAGAAGCAGGCTCTCCACTGAGCTGGGAACCTGACGTGGGGCTCGATTCCAGGACCCTGGGATCATGACCTAAGCTGAAGTCAGTCACTTAACTGACTGAGCCACCCAGCCGCCCCTACTTTTTGGTTTCTATGTAAGATTTTTAAAGATTTAATTTTATTTACTTATTTTTAAAGATTTTATTTATTTATTTGACAGAGAGAGAGACAGCAAGAAAGGGAACACAAGCAGGGGGAGTGGGAGAGGGAGAAGCAGGCTTCCCGCTGAGCGGGGAGCCCAATGTGGGGCTCGATCCCAGGACCCCAGATAATGACCTGAGCCAAAGGCAGACGCTTAACAACTGAGCCACTCAGGCTCCCCAAAGATTTTATTTTTAAGTAATCGCTGCACCCACCGTGGGGCTCAAACTTACAACCCTGAGATAAAGAGTTGCACACTCTACCAGCTGAGCCAGCCATGTGCCCCTGATAGGTTTTTAGAATATAAATTTTGTTTGAATGCAAGAGGAAGTTCTAGTGAATGAATGTTACCAGGAAACAAGTTTCGGCTCAGTTTGCAAAACTAAACCAAGTTAGTTATTTTACTTCTGTCTCTTACATTGTTCAACACTCTATTTTAATACTTATCTGGTAAAATGTAGAAAAACAAATTCTATAGGGCCAGACTAGAATATATTTTTCTCATCTTTAGGGCCCAGTAGAGTGCATGGCACTTAATAGGTGCTCACTGAATGAAATAAATTCCTTTTCACAGATGATATATATCAAGTAGAGGCCAGATGACCACTTTCTGTGATACTAAAAGATGGATTTATGCATCATTAAATAATAAGTTAGAATAGATTACTTTATTTCCTGTACTAGGCTTTCAAATCAGGTAATAATGGTTTGTCAATAAAATTTTCCAAATCTCCTCTTACATCATGATGTATTGAGAACAGTGCAAAATTTTTAGCAAGAACATTGCAAAATTTTTAGCAAAAACCCACTAAAAACTGATAGAGTCCTAAATTATAGACAAAAATATAGTAAGACATGGACATATTTTTTTTTAAATAGTTTTAATCTTTATTCAAGTATAAAATCGAGATAGCGAAGTGCTTAAGGAACATTAATCTTTAGGAAGCCACTTGATGAACTTACAGCTACACCCATGCAACCACCACTGGGTTTCAGCCAATGTGAAAATACAGACCATTTCCATCACTCTAGAAGGTTCCCTCATGCCCTTTTTCTGTCAATACCTGTCTGTTTTTCCCCCAAGGTAACCATTATTTGATTTGTATCACCAGGGATTTAGTTTTGACTGTTTTTAAATTTCTTTTTTTTTTTTTTAAGATTATATTTATTTGACAGAGAGAGCACAAGGAGGGGGAGTGGCAGGCAGAGGGAGAGCGAGAAGCAGGCTCCTCACTGAGCAGAGACCGATGTGGGGTGGGGCTCGATCCTAGCACTCTGGGATCATGACCTGAGCCGAAGGTGGACTCTTAACTGAATGAGCCACCCAGGCGCCTCTGTTCTCAAATTTCATATAAATGGAAACATATAGTATATAATGTTTTGTATCTAGCTTCTTTTTTTTTAATATTATTTATTTATTTGACAGAGACACAGCGAGAGAGGGAACACAAGCAGGGGGAGTGAGAGAGGGAGAAGCAGGCTTCCCGCCAAGCAGGGAGCCCAGTGCGGGGCTCGATCCCAGGACCTGGGATCATGACCTGAGCCGAAGGCAGATGCTTAACGACTGAGCCACCCAGGCACCCCTTGTGTCTAGCTTCTTAAACTAATGATTATGAGATTTATCCATGCTGTGTGCATCAAAAGTTACTATTTTTTTATTGCTGGATAGTGTTCCATTGTATGGATATACGGCAATTTATTCGTATTCCTGTTAATGGACATTTGGATGGTTTCCAGTCTTTGGCTCTTATGAAGAAAGCTGCTATAAACATTTTTAAACATGTTAAAAAGAGTTTTTAAACGCATTTAACATTTTTTAAAGTTTTTTTTTTTTTTTGCTTAGTTGTATAGAATATAGTGAGGAGAGCATTATTCTAATAGATCTTTGAGATATTCTATTAAATCGTTAATTAAGTGGATTTAACTCCACCCCAAATGTGTGTTTCAACATTATACTTTGTTAACGTGTAGTTAATGTGATCTTCATATTAATGCAAAGAAAAATGAACATATAGTTTTATTTCATTGCATAGTAAATGAAAACAATGACTTAATCTGTATTTTTCTAAAGATTCATTTATTTATTTGAGAGAGAGAGAGGGAGAGGGCAAGCATGGGGAGGGGCAGAGGGAGAGGGAGAGAAATCCTCCAGTAGACTCCCTGCTGAGCCTGGAGCCCACCATGGGGCCTGGACCCAGGACCCTGAGATCACAACCTGAGCCGAAATCAAGAGTCGGATGCTTAACTGACTGAGCCACCCAGGCACTCCTTTAATCTCTGTATTTTATCAGTTAATTTTTCCCTCTTGTCTCTGTATCTCTGTATTTTATCAGTTAATTTTTCCCTCTTTTTTATTGTGGTAAAATATACATGACATAGAACCTGCCATTTTAATCATTTTTAAGTGTACAAACCAGTGGTATTAAGTCCATTCACATTGCTGCACAACCATCACCACTATTCTCAAAGTTATTTTTATTTTATTTTTATTTTTTTAATTATTTTTTAAAGAGAAAGAGGGGGGGTGGGTAGGGAAGGAGGGAGAGGGTAAGAGAGAATTTTAAGCAGGCTCCATGCCAGCACAGAGCCCGACAAGGGGCTCAGTCTCACGACCCTGAGATGACCTGACCTGAAATCAAGAGTCAGGGATATTTAACCGACTGAATCACTCAGGCATCTGTCAAAGTTATTTTTAAAAAGCAATGTAAGGGTGGCTGGGTGGCTCCCTGGGTGGCTCAGTCGGTTAAGCATCTGCTTTTGGCTTAGGTCATGATCCTAGGGTCCTGGGATGGAGTCCTGCATCTGGCTCTTTGCTCAGCAGGGAGCCTGCTTCTCCCTCGGCCTGCCACTCCCCCCTGCTTGTGCTCTCACATGCTCTCCCTCTGATAAATAAATAAAATCTTAAAAAAAAAATACATAAAAAAGCAGTGTAAATGAGACTTTAAGTGGACCCAAATGCATTAAAGTTTCAGAAGTTGAGATAACTTTGAAACTTTGTTTCTGTTGCCACTGCAGTTTTTTTTTTTTTTTTAAGATTTTATTTATTTGACAGAGAGAGACACAGTGAGAGAAGAACACAAGCAGGGGCAGTGGGAGAGGGAGAAGCAGGCTTCCCGTGGAGCAGGGAGCCGATGTGGGGCTTGATCCCAGGACCCTGGGATCATGACCTGAGCCTAAGGCAGATGCTTAACGACTGAGCCACCCAGGCGCCCCTGCAGTTTTTAAAAATATTTTCTTTTATGGTAGAGGAAACCCGGGTAGAGAAAGCTTTAACCCAGGCTACAAGGCCTCTTCCCTCATTATTATGATTTGGTGATGTCAAAAAGAGAAACTCTGCAGTTGGAAATATTTTCATAGTATAAACCCAGGCCTTTGGGAAACCACAAGTTAATGAAAAACTTATGCTATTTTTCAAAAAGTATGAATTCCACATTTTCACTTAAATTCACATTTATATTCTCAACAATATTCTGCTAAAGTTGTGACCTCTCTGTAAAGCTCACTTTGCTGATTTGCTTTTTCTAGACAGATATTTCTCTGTTCTCTGGGAGTATAACTCAGGTTGGAAGTCCTGTTGGCAGTGCAATGAACCTAATTCCTGAAGATGGCCTTCCCCCCATTCTCATATCCACTGGTGTGAAAGGAGGTATGTGGACTTACATATTTAAACAGGGATAGTAATTGCAGGATGCCGGATGTTGTCTTCTAATTAAGGGAAAGAGAGAGAATTCAAATGATAACCACCTTTTTCTTCTCCAACAGAGAAAACAACCACTCAGTGCCATGAAAATAATTGTTGCTGTTACTGATAGTTTTAGAGTAGATATTTATGTTTTTATATTATAAGGTCATTTCATTGTTCAAAGGACATATTTTTAATTATAGTATAAATGTACTTCATTGACAGTTTTTTCTTTATATTTCAAAGCACATAATACTCTGAAGAGTTGCTTATGTTTCTAGGATTTGGCCCACCTGACTGAACAGTCAGGACATTAACTTTTTGTTTTGCAGTATATTATACATTCTGAAATGTACATATAATAAATGGAGAGCACTGAATGTAAATAGTAATTTTATTGTTAAAATTTTTAGTGAGTTCTGGTAAGAAGTAAAATGACTATCCAATCAAAAGAATGCTTATCTTTATGTGAAAGTCTGTTGTTGATAGATGCAGATCAGTATCTAGTTAGTACATTTTTAGGAGATGGTTTGTTAGTACTCTTTCCACAGTTTTGTCCTAGTCTTCTACCTGGTCTCCTTGCCTTCAGTCTTTCTCTCCTTTATTTTATCTTCCATGTTGTTGCCAGTCATCTTTTTAAACATAGATATTATCATATTGCTCTGACTTAGAAACATTCAGTGGATTCCCAGTGTCTTCAGTATAAATTAATTATTTTAGCATACAATGTTCCTTATAACTTTATCTCAACTTACCTTTCTAACTTTATTTCCAGCCAATAACCCAGTACTTCATGCACACTACAGATCGTTTACTGTTTTCTGAATATTCACTTTCCACCCTTCCATGTTTTTTCTTATGCTGTGGAATAGTCAGGAGAGAATGGGCTGCAAAACTGGACAAACCTGGGTTTTAATCCTAGTACCCTTATTTTGAGCTGTGACCCAGTGGGCAGGTTATTTATGCTCCCTGAATCTTTTTCCTAATCTCAAGTAACTACACCTACTTAAAAGTCATTGTGAATATTAAATCAGATTTCATACCTGAAACTATTTAGCAAGAACAGTGTCTGGGGCAAAGTAGATGTATAATTAATACTTTCCTTATCTTCCTTTCCTCTGCCTAGACTACCCTTGTATACTGTAGACTCCTTGAAGAACTCCTCAACCTTTCAAAATCCAGATTAATGAAAAGCTCCTCTCTGAATCCTTACCAATGCTGCTCTGTAGTAGTGTTTTACATCATCTCTGTTTGAATACAAATTCGTTTTTTTCTTTTAAGATTTTATTTACTTTAGAGAGAGAAAGAGAGCACATGTGCATGCATTAGCAGGAGGAGGAGCAGAGGTGGAGGGAGAGGGAGGAGAGAGGCTGGAGTAGATTCCATGCTGAACGTGGAGCCCAACATGGAGCGCAATCTCACATCATGACCTGAGCCAAAATCAAGAGTTGGAGACTTAACTGACTGAGCCACCCAGGTGCCCCTGAATAGAAATTTTTATAGACCTTTACTATATTCTTCTCTTACTATAATTTAGGTATTTTATAGGTCTGATTCTTTCACTTAGACCATGCATTTCTTCAGGCTTAATTCATGCTCGTGTCTTCTCCTACCATGGTGCTGGGTCTGTTGCGAGCTCTCAGCAGTGTTGGCTGAAAGTATCAGACTGTGCTGAAAGTATCAGACTATAAAATCCAGCCATGTCCCAGATAGTTCAACTATGAACTTTCATGTAAGTTAAGCGTTCTTTTGATTATATAATCTTTGCTACTTTACTAGGATCCCCTAAAAATATTCTTTTGTTAATAAAGTTACTACTTAGGTTCAAATTTTGGTTATTTTCATGAGTCTTAGATTTAACTTACAAGAAGTTAAATTGGCCTACTCTCTTGTTTAAATAAGATTCCATTTTCATTAAATCTAATTATTAAAACCTCTCCTACTAAGAAACAACAACTGTTTATACTTACTTAAATCATATTACTGTCTCTTGCCCAGAATTTTGCAGTTTTGTATTTCAGTGGAATAACTTCATACAAATATTTTCTTTTTAAAAGTGACTTAGTATTTTTCTTTTCAATAAATATTTTCATTGGTAGAGTAGACATTTCCCCTTAAATCCATAAAATTTTTTGGTTTCTGTTATTATCCATGATTTTGACCTCAAGCTGGGAAGACTACCATCATTCAAAATGGCGTAACTGAATATCACATACTGTGCTTTCAGGGATTAAATGGGAAAGGTTCTGTGCAGGGTCTCAGGTGTTAACTTGTCCATGTTTAGAATCTGTTGTGTGATTTAGTGGTGATTTTGGTGATTGATATATGCGCTGAACTCTTGACTTAGAGGAAGTGTCTCATGAAACCAGTCACTTATGATAGTTTTAGTTTATTTTCTGGGTACTTTTTTTTAAAGTTTAGTTTTTTAATGGTAAAAAAAAAATCTCAACAGTACAAAAGAATATAGAATAAAAAGTAAGATTCTTTTCTACCTCAACCCCTCAAAATCCTTTCAGAGGTAAGTAGCGTATTATCACTTTCTTGTATATCATAGATTATTTTAAATGTTGGTCTTAGAACATGTAATATGTGAAATTCTTGTTATGATAGTTGGAGAATTTTTGTTAAAGGGCTGTCTTTATTTTTCTTTTTCAAGTTTTTATTTAAATTCTAGTTAACCTATATGGTAAGATTGGTTTCAGGTGTAGAATTTAGTGATTCATCACTTACAGACAACACCTAGTGCTTATCAGAAGTGCCATCCTTAATAGCCATCACCCATTTAGCCCAACCCCCTCCCCATCAACCCTCAGTTTGTTCTTTATATATAAAGTTAAGAGTCTCTTATGGTTTGCTTCCCTCTCTCTCTCTTTTTTCCTTCCCCTATGTTCATCTTTTTGTTTCTTAAATGCCACACAAGTGAAATCGTCTGGTGTTTGTCTTTATCTGACTGACTTACTTCACTTAACATAATACATTCTAGCTCCATTCAAGTCATTGCAAATGGCAAGATTTCTTTCTTTGTGATGGCTAATATTCCATTGTATATATATGCCACCTCTTCTTTATCCATTCATCAGCTGATGGACATTTGAGCTCTTTTCATAGTTTGGCTATTATTGATAATGCTGCTACAAACAGCGGGGTGCATGTGCTAAAGGGGTGTCTCTAGATTATGGCATAAGTCAGTTTGTGGAGAAGTCTATGTATAGGATAACCATGTTCTCATCCAGACTGGACTGGGTCACTTTTGAGAATGAAAGGGGAACTCTTAGCATTACACTGAGACAGCAGTATAAACCTGTGTTCACCCTATCTGTAAATCAAGTGCTTAACTCTTTCTTGTGAATAATCAGCCAATTCCTCCATCAGATTTCTTGATTTGTCCCTTTAACTAATCTTTTACATTGTTTTCTTCCCTTACAGACTATGCTGTGGAAGAGAAACCATCACAGATTTCAGTAATGCAGCAATTAGAAGATGGTGGTCCTGACCCACTTGTATTTGTTTTAAATGCAAATTTGTTGTCAATGGTTAAAATTGTAAATTGTAAGTTAGAAATTTGTTTTTTAAAATTAAAATGAGATACTTTACTGACTCATAGATAATAAGTAAAGCTTTCAAATTCATTACACACAGCATTTTTATATGGATGGAGCCACATCTTACTGAAAACTGGGTACCAAAGAAATTGGTTTGTATAAAATAACATATCCCAGAGGACAACTATGGGACTAACTGAAACTCTTATGAGATAGGTGAATTCTCCATGGAGGAAAGCCAAACAAAACTTCCTGAGATGGATGTGCTAAATCACAACTCATCACCAGAGTAGTTGGAGGTGGACAAATTATCCAGGAGGGTCAAATAATTTACGTGCTAGATTTATTTATTTATTTATTTATTTATTTATTTATTTATTTATTTAAGCTTTTCAGTGTTTTTAATGGACATAGGTAGTAATTGTTCAACAACTCCTTAGAGAATCTCCGCATTTTATTTTTTAATTTATTTTTTAAATTTTATTTTATTATGTTATGTTAGTCACCATACATTACATCATTAGTTTTTGTTCCATGATTCATTGCATATAACACCCAGTGCTCCATTCGATAGGTGCCTTCCTTACTACCCATCACCGGGCTAACCCATCCCCCCACCCCCCTCCCCTCTAAAACCCTCAGTTTGTTTCTCAGAGTCCATAGTCTCTCATGGTTCAGCTCCACCTCTGATTCCCCTCCTTCATTTTTCCGTTCCTGCTTTTTTTTTTTTTTTATAACATATAATGTCTTATTTGTTTCAGAGGTACAGGTCTGTGATTCATCAGTCTTACACAATTCACAGCGCTCACCATTACATGCTAGATTTAAATCTCAGAAACCTTAATCATTTGCAAACCTTTATTTGAGAGAAGGGTTAGTTAGCTAACACATAGTAAAACTTCAGTACATCATAAGTTAAGATTCAGAAGAGACTTCTTAATTCTTGGGGCTAGCTTCTGGGCATCAGAATGAGTAAGAGGACAGTAAATTAGCATCTTAATTCCAGGATGGTGTTGGAAAATAGAAAATGCATTTATCCTGGGTGAATGTCAATAGGCAGAGCTTTGGAGAGAAGCACTGGAGAACTGTCTTCTAATTCCCACTGGGTACTTATTTTAAGTTGACCTCGGACACCAGAAACACCTATATGCCACTTACTTTGAGGTTCTGTATTAAAGAGTGCAGGCTCTGGTTTACTTGTTAATTGTACCCTTGTATATTTGGCCAGTTATTAATGCTTGCCCCCTTTCCTTCTAGGATTAAGTTTTAAAATAATTTGTGAAATTTCTATTTACCCTATCTAGTTTATAAGTTACATTTAGAAAATAGCTAACCCAGAATTCCTGAAGTGTACACCATCTTAATACAGTTGTATTGGGTGCTTCCTGTTTAGGTATATAAAGAAACAATTCCCAAAGTGAAGGAAAGGGAACTTCTATTAGTTTTGATTTACATTGTGATATCTATATATTTGAATCTTATTTCAATTCCTTTGGGGATCCTATTATGTATGGAGTACAAATGATAAAAGTGTCAAAGATTGAACATTATTTTTAACTACATAGGCTTGTGCTGTTGGGACTCTACAATGCCTTAAGGTGAAGAAGTAGAAGTAAATAGTCCAGAAAAGCCATTCCTTCACCACTTTTTACAGGATGAAACCAAGTAAAATCATGTTGCTGTTTATTTAGAATTTTCTCCCATAAAGGACTATAATTTAAAAAGCTAGAATCTTGGGGCACGTGACTGGCTCAGGCAGTAGAGCATGCAACTCTTCATTGATCTCAGGATTGTAAAGTTCAAGCCACATGTTGTATGTAGAGATTACTTAAAAATAAAATCTTTAAAAAAACAAAATAAAAAGCTAGAGTCTTTCAGTCACAGATGAAATTTAAAAAGTGTATTTAGCCCACAACCTGAATCCAAAGCTATAATACTGGCTTTTGTTGTTTCTACATAAGTAATTTTTTCTCTTGGTAAAGTGAATTTATTTATTTATTTATTTATTTATTTATTTAGTGAATTTTTTTAAAATACAGGTGGGGGGATATATTCTTTAATCATTATAGCCCTAGGATACCTAGTTTTATTTAATTTATTTTTAATGAAATGTTTTCTTTCAATAATGAGTTAAAAGTTGCAAGCTCATTTTCTTTCACTATTACTTCTTTTACTTCCCTTCCCATTGTTTTTCTAAGTATCCATTTAAGCCAGAGGCATTCGTATGTTTTATTTTCTACAGTAGTTCTTTGGCTCAGTTCATTTATAGTTACAGTTGAATTGTACAGATTCAATATGACCGATTTTGTTCTTTGCTGTATTTTAACAGATTTCTGTGCATTTTTTAAAGGTAAGGATTGAGAAGAATGTCTTTATTTTTATATTTTTATTCCATTCATAGATGTGAACAGGAAGTGCTGGTGTTTCACAACCAAGGGAATGCATGCAGTGGGTCAGTCTGAGATAGTCATTCTTCTACAGTGTTTACCGGATGAAAAGTGTTTGCCGAAGGATATCTTTAATCATTTTGTGCAGCTTTATCGGGATGCTCTGGCAGGTGGGAATGCTTTATGACTTAGTCTGCATTCTTTATAAGACAATAAAAATTTGGGGGGCGCCTGGGTGGCTCAGTTGGTTAAGCGTCCAACTCTTGACTTAAGCTCGGGTCTTGATCTCATGAATTCAAACCCGACACTGGGCTCCAAGCTGGAGTGTGAGCCTACTTTAAAAAAAAAAAAAAAAAAAAAGATGAGGCGTGCCTGGGTGGATCAGTTGGTTAAGTGTGTGCCTTCTGCTTGTGTTGTGTTCCTGGGGTCTTGGGATCAAGCCCTGCATCAGGCTCCTTGCTCGGCGGGAAGCTTGCTTCTCCCTCTCCCTCTACCCTTCCCTCTGCTTGTGCTCTCTCTCTGTCAAATAAATAAATAAAATCTTTAAAAAAAAAAAAAAAAAAGATAGGGCCACCTGGGTGGCTCAGTCGGTTAAGCGTCTGCCTTCGGCTCAGGTCATGATCCCAGGGTCCTGGGATCGAGTCCCGCATCGGGCTCCCTGCTCCGCGGGGAGCCTGCTTCTCTCTCTGCCTCTGTCTCTCTCTCTGTCTCTCATGAATAAATAAATAAAATCTTTAAAAAAAAAAAAAAAGATAAAAATTTTTGGACTCAGATGCCAAATAATAGTTACAAATTTGGAAGTCTGGCATTGGACTTTGGTATCAGTGGCAAGTTAGAACTTGCTAAGGCTTAAGGAAATATAAATTTTAGTACTTCACCTGGTGTGGTTGTTATTATTTTATAAAGGCTGGAATCAAAGTTGTAAGATAATCCATTGACCATGATGTAAGAATATTTTTCTCTGAGTGGCTTAGGGGTCATGATATTGGTACCTGGTAGAAGGAAGCATAATCATAACTTACTACTTGTTTCTTCAGCTAACAATATATAATCATAATCATAAATATTCTTTATTTAATTTTCAAATTTTAAAAAAACCACTGGCATGGGCAACTTTATTATGGTTTCAAAATAAATTATAAATATTGTTAGCCCTACCAATGTAAAAGTAAATGCATAGCTACTGGAAAAGACTAAGGATAACTAATAAAAAGACATACTATTATAAGTTGAGAAAGAAGAAATATTTATGTGTATTATTTGGCATTACAAAGTTAATCTCTGATTTAACGGAGGAGGTAAGAAGCGGTGTAGTTGAACTAAATTCTCATTATCATAACAGGAAGTAAAAAACCAGTATCTGTGGTTGACAAATAGGGAAAGAGTAGTATAATAACTACAACAAATGTATAATAGAAGAGATTGCCTCTGAGGAACAAGCCTTGGAAAGGGGAGTGAGGTTGACCAGGGTATTAAAATTATTTTCATGTATTACATGGTGATATTTTATAAATATATTAAAACCATAAATTAGGGATGCCTGAGTGGCTCAGCCGGTTAAGCGGCTGCCTTCGGCTCAGGTCATGATCCCAGGGTCCTGGGATCGAGTCCCGCATCGGGCTCTTTGCTACTTGGGGAGCCTGCTTCTCTCTCTCCCACTCCCCCTGCTTGTGCTTGCTCTGTCTCTCTCTCCCTCTCTCTCCCTGACAAATAAATAAAATCTTAAAAAAAAAAAACCAATAAATTATTTATACTTTCCAAATACAGTAATTCCCCTTGTGGGATTCTATGCCAAAAAAATTACCTAAATTGTAAAATATACTTTGTACATGAAAGTGTTTATTGCAGCATTACTTAAATTTAACACAAAAATTTAGAGGTAACCTAAATACCCAGCTATAGGTGAAAGGTTTAAAACTGTATTATACTGATTAGATGTATGCATCTTTTTTAGAGCATTCTTTAGCCATCAAAAGTAATATTTATGAATAGAATGTAACAACACAGAAAATGCTCTTGAATTAAGTACAAAAGCAGGATATAAAATTGCATCTTTAGTGTGATTATAGCTTATCCATAAAAGATTATGCCTTTATGTCTTAGTCTCTGTGATAATTTAGGTGTTATATTACATAAGGACAAGACAATACATCGACAACTGACCACATACCTATGAAGTATACTTTGGTATTTACTGTGTCAATTCCAAAATGTATGGGGTTAATATGAAGTCATTTAGAACCTTCAGGCCATATAATACTCAGGACCTAAATTTATTTCCAGAAATGACCTGAAACACTTACTTTTCTCCTCAATTTGGATGTATTCACATATAAGAACTATAAACAGAGAAATGGCATTGGGGGTCCAAGCAATTGTATATTCATGTGGGTTTTGAGAGGGAATTAGGGGCTAAAGCGTGGGAGGTTCATGAAAGTATTGTTCAGGGGTCCATCCTTTATTGTGTAGGCAATGAGGAACAATTGGAAAAAATGAGTGACAGAATCAGATTTGCATTTTAGAAAGATGACTTCAGAAGCAATATGAAAATGGATCAAAATCTTTGTATATGGTGGCAGGTAAGAGTTAAGAAGCAGTAACAGTGGGTAAACAATATTATAGTAGATAAGCACTAGAATACTGCTTATATATTGCTGATATATACAATAACATGGGTGAATATCACAGACATTGTGCTGAATGAAAGAAGCCAGGCACAAAAAAGTACATATTACGTGATTCCATTTACATGATTCTCCAGAACAGGCAAAATGAGTCTGTGGTGATAGAAATTAGATCACTATTTGCCCGGGGTGAGTTAGGTGTGCAGGTGTTGCAACTGACTACAGAGGGGCCCTGGGAGCTTTCTGGGATTATATAAATATTTTATATAGGATAGGGATGATAGTGATAGGGATTACACGAATGTTTACATTTGTCAAAACTATATTGAACTATATACTTAAAATCTCTAGGTTTTATTGCATGATATTATACCCCAATAAGATTGACTTAAACATTTTTTTGTTGAGATATAATTGACATGTAACATTAGTTTCAGATGTAAAATATAATGATTTGGTATTTGTATTTAGTGTGAAATGATCACAGTAAGTTTAGTTAACATCCATTTTCATACATAGTCAAAAATCTTTTTCTTGCTGATGAAAACTTTTAAGATCTCTCTTAGCAGCTTTCAAATATACAATACAGTATTGTTAACTGTAGTTCCCATGCTGTACATACATCCTCAGTACTAATTTGTGTTATAACTGGAACTTTGTACCTTTTGACCTCTTTCACTGATTTTACCCACCCTCTCAACCCCCATCCTTCCCCACCAGTCTGTTCTCTGCATCTAGGAGTCCTATGGTTTTTTGTTTGTTTGTTTGTTTTTTAGATTCTACATATAAATGTGAGATCATGTTGTCTTTCTCTGACCTCAATATTTTACTTAAAATAATGCCATCAAGTTCCATCCATGTTGTTGCAAATGACAGAATTTTCTTTTTTTATGGCTGAATAATATTTCATTGTGTGTATGTATATGTATATATATATATATATACACACACCACATTTTCTTTATCCATTCATCTGTTGATGGACACTTAGATTGTTTCCATGTCTTGGCTATTGTAAATGATGATGTAACAAACATGGGGTGTGTTTTCATTCTCTTCAGATAAATACCCATAAGTGGAATTGCTGGATCATATGGCAGTTCTGTTTTTTATATTTATTTATTTTTTTAAGGATTTTATTTATTTTAGAGAGATAGTGTGAGTGGGGGGAGGGGCAGAGAGAAAGGGAGAGAGAGAGAATTCCAAGCGGACTCTGTGGAGTGCGGGGCTCAATTCCAGGATCCTGAGATCATGACCTGAGCCAAAATCAGGAGTCAGACGCTTGACTGACTGAGCCACCGAGGCGCCCCAGTTCTATTTTTTATTTTTGAGGAACCTCCATACTGTTTTCCTTAGTGACTGCACCAATTTATATTCCCAGCAGTGGTGCAAGAGGGTCGCTTTTCTCTATATCCTCACCAACACTTTGTTATTTTAAAATTGATTTTTAAAAAAGCTCTTGTCAGGATCCAGCAAGAAATTAAATTATCAGGGTTTAATAAAGTAATATCAGTGGGAACAAAGAATATTGAGAAGAAATAAAAGACAGTGATGTTTCAGTTCAATAGGATTTGGTAACTAACTGGATGTGAAGGGTGAGAAGAGGCAAGTGGCTTCAGATTTCTGCCTTGGACATCTGAGTGGACTTTGTTCTTATTCATCGAGATGATAAATAGAAGAAGAACAGATTTGGCAGAGGAGCAGGAGATTGGTTCTTTGTCCAGTGTTAAATTTGAAATATTGACAACAGATGGTGATATGTAAATGGACAATGAATATATGGATATGGACCTCAGGAAGTAGGTCTGAGATTGGGAGACCTAGCATTTATGTGATTGTTGAAACAATGGTTATGAATGGGATAGGTCAGTGAGAGGAGACTAGATGTGAATGGAACTCTGAGAAATACCAACAAGGAAAGGCTGTGAATCATTGCATGAGTCATTAAAATATATGTTTACCATAAGTGGTTACTCACTTTTCAGAATTATCCTTATATATCAGTAGAATTCATTTTGAACTATCAAATTAAAATGCAAAAATTCTACAACAAAATTACTTTGAACTGATAGTAAAGTAATGGTGATAGTCTGAGGTCAGACTATAACCCATGTAAGCTGTTTTAAATATTATCTATAATACAGATGAGGGCATGTGCATGTATATCTGAGTAAAAAGCATTTCAGAGGCATAAACAAGTAAGCCATAAGAGTCTCTCCTCAAGTAGGAATCATTTCACAGCTCATAAAATACTGGGACTAGGAGGTATCTTAGATCATCTGGTACAAACTCTTTGTTTTTTAGATGAGGAAAATGAGAGGTGTTAAAGGCTTATCTAAATTACAGACCTAGATGGTGGCAGAATTAGGACTAAGGCTCACAGACCAGTATTCTTTACATTATGTCTATTGCTTCTATGTGTATATATTAATAGTACAGCAGTTTTAAAAAACAGGTATGCATAATACCTGTGTTATGCCTGTTTTATTAAGAATCCTGCTTTTAGATCATCAAGGTAGTAACTTGATATATAATTTCACCATGTT